AGGCGAAGTATACTACCTGCTGGAGATACTTCTCAGTTTATTCCGTCGAAGGAGGCTGACATCGCTATCCTGGAAGAACCAGAACATCTGAACTGGTACCATCATGGTAAACGCTGGACTGATAAATTTAACCATGTTGTTGGTGTTGTTCACACAAATTACTTGGAATATATCAAGAGGGAGAAGAATGGTGCCCTCCAAGCTTTCTTTGTGAAGCACATAAACAATTTGGTTACAAGAGCACACTGCCACAAGGTATTGGTCTATCTTTTTGTATCCTCTGATGTGTTATGTCTTGAATTTCTCAGGGCTAGGGATATAGTTTGAACATTGTCTTCAAAACATCTCAAAAAATTTGTTTCCTATTCATAACCTGCTTGCTTATGGTTTATGGTTAGGTTCTTCGCCTATCTGCCGCTACCCAAGATTTGCCCAAGTCTGAAATTTGTAATGTTCATGGTGTGAATCCGAAGTTTCTGAAAATTGGGGAAAAAATGGCTGCAGAAAGGGAGCGTGGGAAGCAATCCTTTTCAAAAGGAGCATATTTCCTAGGCAAGATGGTTTGGGCAAAGGGTTACAGGGAGCTGATAGATTTGTTAGTGAAGCACAAAAAAGACCTTGACGGATTCAATTTGGATGTGTTTGGGAATGGAGAGGATGCTCATGAAGTTCAGAGCACAGCTAAAAGGTTGGATCTGAATCTCAACTTCATGAAAGGCAGAGACCATGCAGATGATATTCTTCATGGGTAAGGACTCTTCAAGGAAGTCTCTCATATTTGTTTGAAAGTACCATCCATGAATATAAATGGCTAAGATTTCAGCTCGAAAAAAAACTCAATCATGGCTTCTTGCTTATGATAATGTTTATGCTTGGGATTAACTTTCACATAAACAGATACTGCTTTAGAGAAATTTGGCTCAAACGTTCTTATTTTTATTATTGAAATGGTCATTTTTCCTTGCAGTTACAAAGTCTTCATAAATCCCAGTGTCAGTGATGTGCTCTGTACAGCCACAGCTGAGGCTCTTGCAATGGGGAAATTTGTTGTTTGCGCAGACCACCCATCAAATGAGTTCTTCAGGTCATTCCCCAATTGTTTGACTTACAAGACACCTGAAGACTTTGTTGCAAAAGTGAGAGAAGCAATGGCGAGTGAGCCTCAGCCTCTCACTCCTGAGCAAAGATATAACCTTTCATGGGAAGCTGCCACACAGAGATTCATTGAGCATTCTGAGCTTGACAGGATTTTAAATGGTGATGGAGGTGATTCACAACGGAGAAAAACAAAGGGGAACATCTCCAATTCAGTCTCGATGCCAAATTTATCCGAGATGGTTGATGGAGGGTTGGCATTTGCTCACTACTGTTTCACTGGCAATGAGTTCCTTAGATTGTGTACCGGGGCAGTACCTGGGACACGGTACTATAACCAACAGCATTGTAAAGATCTCCATCTTTTGCCTCCACAGGTAGAGAATCCAATTTATGGCTGGTAGTAGATAGATTACTAACATGTATATCATGTATTCCTTCCTGCATATTATATACGTGATATAACATGGAGCTTGTCGTGCTTGCTAGTGTAGAATCATTTTGTTGTTTTTAAGAAATTACCATATAACATATAGCGCTGTGTGTGTGTGTGTGCGCGCGTGTGTTAGGACCCACAACCAGAACAGCTATTGGCCCTTTCATTGTAGTTCTCATTCATTTGTCTATTTTTCTGTGTGATGTCAAGGTAAATGTTCGAAAATTATTTGTTTGATGTCAATATTACTGTGGAGGATAAGGTTGCGATATTAAATTATTTCGTAAATGATAAGTGAACGAGACTAGTCACTCACTCTTGTTGACCAGTCAATGATCCACAGCATGCCTTGAGCCATAGACTATGGGCCAGGTAGGCCTCTCCATTCCATAAGGCATAAGGGATACCATATACACAATTGACACATGGGGTAAAGTCACGAGCCACTATTTTTGGTTTGCTAAGCCAGAAGGGTCCTTTATGGCCCACCATCTTGGTCCAAGAAATAAGCTCATTGCCTGGCCCATTGGCTTGATAAAATTTAAAAAATAATAATTAAATGTCTTATTTGAATAAATAATAATAAAAATAAAAAAGGCTCATTGGAATTGGTCTTTATTTTTCGTTCTTAAAGGATAAAAAATGTATCTCAATAAAAAAAGTGAAAAGGTGAGCAATAGGATGGGAAACAAAAGAGATCGCTGAGTTACTCTATAGCAACCAATGTCTCTTGACCAATTAACGGTCCACATGCCATATCTACAGCTTCTTAATGGGCCAGGTAGGTCCGCTCCTTCCTATCTCAAACCCTTATTTAAAACACTCTTTCTTAGGCAACTCAACGAAGATTAATCTAAAATAAGGGATACACTTGCCTTTTAACCTAACTTATAGATGCCAACATATTATATTACTTCATGTGTTAAAGCTGAGAAATAATCCACGTATTTCCCAATCTTCACAATCAAATGATAACAAGACAAACTTCATATTCTACTTGAATCTAGTTTGGGTCACTCCCTTTAAGATTTGATGGGTGCATATTTTTTTTGCACTTAGTTAATGAGGACGACAAGCACCATTTTTAGTGGAGCTTTGTTCATAGCAAACAGACATAATAAGATATTAAAATGTAAGTGTGCACAAGCACATTTTTCTTTCCAATATAAAAAGAGATAAAAAAAAAAAAACATAGAGGTTGATAATAATATAAATGATTTGCTACTAGTAACCCTTTTTTTTTTTGGGAGGGAATCTCATTGAAAAGTGAGGATCGGATCACTACTTTTGGGGATTCAAATCAACAGTAGGTGCATGTCGTTGGGTCCAAAATTGAATAAAGTTTGGTAAGGGTCATATATGCACTTAGAGGTATCACATACGTGGTAGCTGTCTTGAGACCGCGACTATGGGAGTTGAGCTGTTCTTTAGGAACTCTCATAAAAATCAATATTAAGTGTATGACTATTAATAATATTGATCTGCGAATCCTAACCAAAATTGATATTGTGTGTGACATATTGAATTTTGGTTCAAAAGGTCTAGTTCACGCCTTTGAAATTTGGCTCACTTAGTTAACAGGTTCAATTTCGGAAGTCATATTATATCTATTGCAGAGTACAATAGTTGCCCCTATTTTCTCTATATTTTTCTTATCTTTACATATAAAGTCATATTTTGAAGTTTTTAAAAACTTGATTTTTTTTTTTTG